TACTCCCTTTTGTGGCATCCCTTTTTTTTTTAATTTATTTTTTTAAGATTTATTTTTATTTTATGTGCATCTCCTCTGTGTGAGGTTGTTGGAGCCCTTGGAACTAGAATTACAGACAGTTGCGAGCTGCTGGAAATTGAACTTGAGTCCTGGAAGAGCAGCCAGTGCTCTTGACCACTGAGCCATTTCTCCAGCTCCCACGGCATCCCTTTTTACTTCATATGCAAGTATTGGCTATGCTATAGGGCTTAATTGCTAAAGCATTAAAAGGCAACTATATAGAGAAGTGTGAACTCTGCAGCCTCTTTTTTGTGTGTTTCCAGTATGTGGGAAAGGGAAGGGACCCTTGCATTCTCTCTTCTTCCTTCTAGTCCAGAATGTATAGAAAATTTTTTCTTCATTCCAACTTTGTAAAAAATTTCCTACTCTGTTTTTTGTTTGTTTGTTTGTTTGTTTTCATATTTGTGTGTGTGTGTGTGTGTGTGTGTGTGTTGGGCAGTGGCATTCACATTAAAACATCTCATTTTCAACAAAAATTGCTGAATTTCATCTCATTCTTTATCCACTTCTTTTTTTTTTTTAGACTCTTTTTTTTTATGAATATAGAGTATTTTTTATTTAATTTTATATAACAAAGTCCAATTAAATGAAAACAAACATTTATACACACTATTTGGGAATTTGGGCGTCGTTCTTTCCAAACTACTTCCTGCTGGTAAGGGGCGCTGTCTTGGGGGATTCAAAGAAGATTCAGATATCCTAGCTGTAGTCTGTAGGGCTGTTTTGTCCAGCTGTTTGGAATGTAGGATCAGCTTGTACTCTGTTTCAGGCGGTCTGGTGTGATCAAACCACATTAGTCTGGAAGGACTCCACATCTTTTCATTTTCTGTGGAAACAAAAATAGAAATACTTTTCCCCAGTAACTTGTTCTTCAACTTAAATTTTGGAGTCAAAGCATTTTTTTTTTTTTAATTTATTATTTTACATGTCGATCCCAGTTCCCTCTCCCTCCCTCCCTTCCTCCCTTCCAGCCCTCCCTCCCTCCTTCCCTCCCTTTTGCCCTCTCTACCCTCTCCCATGCACTCTAAATACCCTCCCCTCCCAACCCCCCACCACAATACCATATGTAGGGGAATGCCATCCAGTTGGGGTCATGTAGATCTGACAGGTCCTGTGAAGTAGGGACTAGGGCTTCTCTCCTATCTCTAGAATAAGGCAGTTATCCCTCCATGGGGGATATGTTTGCAAAGTCTTTTTGTGCACCAGGGATACATCCTGGCTCCACTGTCTGAGGTCTCTTAGACTGCTCAGACCTTCTGGCTGAGACCCATATTCAAGGGGGGTCCGAGTCAGTCCCCTGTTGGCTTCCTAGCTATCAGTCTAGTGGCCCTTAGCTCCTCCTTGTTCAGGTAAGCTGTCTCTATGTACTTCTACCACATGGTCTTGTCCTCTCCATCTGCTTCTGGGTTCTAGTTCGACTCAGTGTTTATGTATGGGTGTTTGCTCCTGTTTTCAACAGGCATTAGTTGAGGACTCCATGGTCTTTATCCACTTCTTATATGAGTGGGTCTGCAGAATACTACTGAAGAAATTACAAGCAGATTGATAAAAGCCAAAATAGAGGAGCATAAAAGTTTTTCATTTTAAACTCTTGATGATTATGACTGAGCATTTATGACAGGAATTATCAAACAAGTAGAAACTTTTCTAAGTATACTTAATAGTAACTTTAGGGTTTTGTTTGTTTGTCCAGATCTCAAGAATTAAACTACCCAAATTTAAGAAGTAAAATTTAAGTTTACTAAATTGAGGGGAAGGAAAATAGCTCATTGGTTAAGAGCATTTTCTGCTATTATAAGGACCCAGGTTTGGTTCTCAGTACCTACATGGCAGCTCACAACTATCTGCACTCCAGCACCATCTTTGGACTTTATGGGTATCAGATACACACATGGTGCAAATCAAGATTGAGAATCCCTCCTTTTGGGTTTCAAAAGAGAGAGGTTCCATGCATTGTGCTTGGCTGATGAGTAGATTATAATATGTGCTTGTATGGAGATGGAGAGATTGCTCAGTGGTTAAAAGCATTTGCTGTGCTTTGAGAGAACCTAAGTTTGGTTCCCAGCATTCATGTTTGATGCCTTAATCTGTGGGATCTGACACTCTCTTCTGCCCTCCACAGGCCCTGTACTTACAGGTACGAACCAACATACACATAATACATAAATAAAAGTAAAATATTTTTTTAAAGAATGAGGTGTGCTTGTAATCAGGTTGACTGATTCTTGGTCAGCAGGGCAAAGGAAGAAGGCCTGCATTTTGAGGAAGGAATGTGTGAGCTCACAGTGTAGGAAAGTAGGGAGTCGAGGCCAGGTTAATTAATGCATGTTTATCATATGGGATGTGAAAGCAGTCGCTCCTGAGAATTTGAAGTCTTCCGGTCTGATGCTAGTAGACAAAATCAGCTGTGGGGATGGAAAGAAAAAGAAGCTCCCGCAGATGAACATGGCCCAAGTGGCCCTGGGCCCAAACCTAATGGTCAGATAGGGTGTCTTAGTCACTGTTCTGTTGCTGGGTAGAAACACCATGACCAAGACAACTCTGATAAAATAAAGCACTTAAGTGGGGGCTTGCTTACAGTTTTAGAGGCTTATTAGTCTATCATCATCATGACAGGGAGCCTGGCAGCAGGCAAGCAAGTGTGTTGCTGGAGAAGTAGCCAAGAGCTACATCCTGATCCACAGGTAGAGACACAGAGAAAGATACTGAACCTGGAATGGGTTTTTGAATCCTCAAAGCCCACCCTCAGTGACACACATACTTCTAATCTTTCTAATCCCTCTCAATCACCACGCCCTGATGAAATATATGAGCCAAATGGGGCCATTCTTACTCAAACCACCACATAGGGATTCCTAGAGTAATACGCCAAAAAACCAGATTAAACAAGAAATGGGCTCTTGTGGTCATTTTTCATGTTGGGAATAAGTTATAGAAAGCAGTCTAAGGCTAGAGTGATGGCTGTGCAGTTGACATAATTTACTGCTCTACCAGAGAACCAGAATTCAGATCCCAGAACCCACATTGGGCTCCAAGGCATCTGAAACTCATTTCTGGCCTCTCTGGGCATCTACACATAAAATTAAACAAACAAAGCCAGGTGTGTTGGCAAACCTATTATCCCAGAAGGACCTGGATTACATATGCATATAATACCATGTCTCAGCACTCCCTCCACCCAAAGCCTTTTTTGTATGTGGGAGGGGTGGGAGGCCTTTTCTTTGTTAAATTACATAGCAAGAAAAACTTGCTATTGAAGTTACATATAATAATTTACCCCACAAAATTGTCCTCTGCCCTCCACAAATGTATAAGTTCCCGTGAGCTTGAACATCCTATGCATGTGTTCTTCAGAGTTACGTTTCCAGCTCCTTTTTCTTAACTTGTCAGATTTATTTGGTTAGTTATACTACACAGAGAAACCCTGTCTTGAGCCTCCTAAAATCAACAAATAAATAATAAATTAGATACATAATACAAAATGACAATGTTCTCAACCACACTTTAGTGTGTGTGTGTGTGTGTGTGTGTGTGTATAATTTTTTTGTCATTTTTTTTGGTGCTGATGAAGGCACTTGGTGCCAAGCATGTCAACCTGAGTTTAAACATTGGAAACCATATTTCCTTCATATTATCATAACCTCCACAAACATATACACGGTAAATAAATAAAAAAGTAAAAAAACAGCCCACATTCATATGTTGTTAGTTAGAAGATGATAATAGAAAATATCAATTTACTGGTCAAATCATGAAGATGTATTCAAAATAAATATGTAGGTTTATATGATTGACAGTCAACAAAGAAAGTATCTTAAGCCAAAAATGGTCGCAAATGCCTATAATCCCATGGGAGACTGATACAGGCACATCACTGAGGATTTGAGGCCCACCTAGCTATAGAGTTTAGGCCTTGTCTCAAAAAAATGAAAAGAAACAGACCAATACTAATAGCATTTGTTATAGTTGTAGATGAACTAACAAAAAGTACCATTGATATACTTTTGTTTTACATTTACAGTGACAGGTGTGGGGTGGGGGGCTGGCATCTGTATGTAGTTACTTACCTACTCCACTATGAGGGTGGGGGTCTAGGGACAAGTAATGGAGTTGATTCTCCTTTTCTACTTTGTGAGTTCTCTAGGGATTAAACTCAGGTTGCCAAGCTTGGTGTCAAGTACATTTACTTACCAATGACCCATCTTGCCAGGTAGATTTTTGTTGTTGTTGTTGTTGTTGTATTGATTTGGTTTTTAGAGACATTCTTGCTATATAGTGCAATCTGGCCTTGAACTCACTTTATAGTCTGGGCTCAAACTCAGCTGTACTCCTGCCTCAGCCTCCCAAGTGTTAAGGATATAGGCATATACCATTATGCCCCTCTTAACCTTTTCTTAAAAATGTTTTTCTGAGGCTAGAGAAACAACTTAGTGTTGCAAGTGCTTGCTGCTCTTTCAGAGTACCTTACTTTCTTTCCCAGTACCCATATTCGGAGCCTTAAAACAGCTTGAAACTCATGCTCCAGAAAATTGGCTAGCTTCTTTGAGCAGCTATACGATTGCCATGCATGTGTACAAACACATACACACAATCCTAAAAATAAATTGTGTTTTGCTGGGTGGAGGTGACACACACCTTTAGTTCTAGCACTTAGGAAGCAGAGGCAAGTGGATCTCTGTGAGTTCCAGGTTAGCCTGGTCTACAGAGCGAGTTCCAGGACAAATTCCAAAGCTACACAAAGAAACCCTGTTGTAGGAAACAAAACAAAGCAAATCAAACCAAAAAATTGTATTTTGCTCTCTCTTTCTCTCCCTCTCCCTCTCTCTGTGTGTGTGTGAAAGAGAGATGTAGTCAATTTGTTGGATTATAATGTGAAATTAAAGTGTTAAGAGATTTGGAGATTTGTTCTCTCTAAAACATTTTTCTTGTTCAAATTTTAGGACCCTTCAAAACTGTTTAAGAAAGCAGGTGATGCTACAGCCATGGAATGCCAATCTGAAGAAAGCATTCATCTTCATTCACAGGGAGAAAATAATCCTTTGTCTAAGAAGCTTTCTCCAATACATTCACAAATGGCAGATTACATTAATGCAGCACCATCTCTTGTTGGCAGTCGAGACCCTGATATAAAGGACAGAGCATTACTTAATGGAGGAACTAGTGTAACAGAAAAGTTGGCACAGCTCATTGCTACCTGTCCTCCTTCCAAGTCTTCCAAGACAAAACCGAAGAAGTTAGGAACTGGCACTACAGTCGGATTGGTTAGCAAGGACTTAATCAGGAAACCAGGTGTTGGCTCTATAGCTGGAATAATTCATAAGGACTTAATTAAAAAGCCAGCTCTTAGCACAGCAGTTGGGTTGGTAACTAAAGATCCAGGGAAAAAGCCTATGTTCAATGCAGCAGTAGGACTGATTAGTAAGGACTCTATGAAAAAATTGGGAACTGGCACTACAACGGTATTCATTAATAAAGATTTAGGCAAAAAGCCAGGGACTATCACTACAGTAGGACTGCTGAGCAAAGATTCAGGAAAGAAGCTAGGAATTGGTATTGTTCCAGGTTTAGTGAATAAAGAGTCTGGCAAGAAATTAGGACTTGGCACCGTAGTTGGACTGGTTAATAAAGAGTTGGGCAAGAAATTGAGTTCTACAGTTGGCCTAGTGGCCAAGGATGTTACGAAGAAGATTGTAACAAGTTCAGCAATGGGACTGGTTAATAAGGACGCTGGAAAGAAATTAGTGAGTTGTCCTATAGCAGGACTGGGCAGTAAAGATGCCTTAAACCTTAAATCTGAAGCACTGCTCCCCACTCAGGAACAACTTAAGGCTTCTTGTAGCACAAACATCAATAACCATGAAAGTCAAGAACTTACTGAGTCCCTGAAAGACAGTGCTACCAGCAAAGCTTTTGAGAAGAATGCTCTGCGGCATAGTAAAGAAGGCATGCTGGAGAAGTTTTCAGTCCGAAAAGAAATTACTAATTTGGAGAAGGAAATGTATAATGAAGGAACATGCATTCAGCAAGACAATTTCTCATCCAATGATAGGGGAGCCTTTGAGACCTCAAAGCATGAAAAACAACCTCCTGTATATTGCACTTCTCCAGACTTTCAAATGGGAGGTGCCTCTGATGCGTCCATAGCTAAGTCTCCCTTCGGTGCAGTAGGAGAAAGCAATCTTCCTTCCCCATCACCGACTGTATCTATTAATCCTTTAAGCAGAAGTCCCCCCGAAACTTCTTCACAGTTGGCTCCAAACCCATTACTTTTAAATTCTACAGTAGAACAAATGGAAGACATTTCTGAATCTATTGGAAAGAACCAATTTTCAGCAGAAAGTACTCACTTGAATGTTGGTCATAGGTCATTAAGTCATAGCATAAGTATTGAATGTAAAGGAATTGATAAAGAAATCAATGAATCAAAAAATGCACATCTAGATATTGCTAGAATAAGTTCTTCCTTGGGAAAAAAGCCAAGTTTGGCTTCTGACTCTGCTATTCATACGATTACTCCTTCAGTTGTTAATTTTACTAGTTTATTTAGTAACAAACCTTTTTTAAAACTTGGTGCAGTAACTGCATCAGACAAACACTGCCAGGTTGCTGACAGCCTAAGCACTAGTTTCCAGTCAAAGCCATTAAAAAAAAGAAAAGGAAGAAAACCTCGGTGGACTAAAGTGGTGGCAAGAAGCACATGCCGGTCTCCAAAAGGACTAGAATTAGAAAGATCTGAGCTTTTTAAAAACGTCTCATGTAGCTCACTATCAAATAGTTCTGAGCCAGCTAAGTTTATGAGAAATATCGGAGCATCATCTTTTGTCGATCATGACTTCCTTAAACGCCGGTTGCCAAAGTTGAGTAAGTCTACAGCTCCATCTCTCGCTCTCCTAACTGACAGTGAAAAACCATCTCATAAATCCTTTATTGCCCACAAACTATCCTCCAGTATGTGTGTCACTAGTGATCTTTTGTCTGATATTTATAAGCCCAAAAGAGGAAGACCTAAATCCAAGGAAATGCCTCAGCTAGAAGGTCCACCTAAAAGGACTTTAAAAATACCTGCCTCTAAAGTTTTTTCTTTACAATCTAAAGAAGAACAAGAACCCCCAATTTTACAGCCAGAAATTGAAATTCCTTCTTTCAAACAAAGTTTGTCTGTATCTCCTTTTCCAAAAAAGAGAGGCAGGCCTAAGAGGCAGATGCGATCTCCAGTGACGACGAAGCCACCTGTGCTGTCAGTGGCTCCGTTTGTTGCCACTGAAAGTCCAAGTAAGCTAGAGTCTGAAAGTGAGAACCATAGAAGTAGCAGCGATTTCTTTGAGAGTGAGGATCAGCTTCAGGATACAGATGACTTAGATGATAGTCATAGGCAAAGTGTCTGTAGTATGAGTGACCTTGAGATGGAACCAGAAAAAAAAATTAGCAAGCGAAACAATGGACAATTAATGAAAACCATTATCCGAAAAATAAATAAAATGAAGACTTTAAAGAGAAAAAAACTGTTGAATCAGATTCTTTCAAGTTCTGTAGAATCAAGTAATAAAGGAAAAGTACAATCTAAACTTCATAATACAGTATCAAGTCTTGCTGCCACATTTGGCTCTAAATTGGGCCAACAAATAAATGTGAGCAAGAAAGGAACCATTTATATAGGGAAGAGAAGGGGCCGAAAACCAAAAACTGTCTTAAATGGCCTTCTTTCTGGTAGTCCTGCCAGCCTTGCTGTGCTTGAACAAACAGCTCAGCAGGCAGCTGGGTCAGCATTAGGACAGATCCTTCCCCCTTTACTGCCTTCACCTGCTAGTAGCTCTGAGATCCTTCCATCACCTATTTGCTCTCAGTCTTCTGGGACAAGTGGAGGTCAGAGCCCTGTTAGTAGTGATGCAGGCTTTGTTGAACCTAGTTCAGTGCCATATTTGCATATGCACTCCAGGCAGGGCAGTATGATTCAGACTCTTGCAATGAAGAAAGCTTCCAAGGGGAGGAGGCGATTATCTCCTCCTACTTTATTGCCAAATTCTCCTTCTCATTTGAGTGAACTCACATCCTTGAAAGAAGCTACTCCTTCCCCAATTAGTGAGTCTCATAGTGATGAGACCATTCCCAGTGATAGTGGCATTGGGACAGATAATAACAGCACATCAGACAGGGCAGAGAAGTTTTGTGGACAGAAAAAGAGGAGACATTCTTTTGAACACATTTCTCTGATTCCCCCTGAAACCTCTACTGTCCTAAACAGTCTTAAAGAAAAACATAAACACAAATGTAAGCGCAGGAGTCACGATTACCTCAGCTATGACAAGATGAAAAGACAGAAACGAAAACGGAAAAAGAAATATCCCCAGCTCCGAAATAGGCAGGATCCAGACTTCATCGCAGAGCTAGAGGAGCTAATAAGTCGTCTAAGTGAAATTCGGATCACCCATCGAAGTCATCATTTTATTCCCCGAGACCTCCTGCCAACTATTTTTCGAATCAACTTTAATAGTTTCTATACACATCCTTCTTTTCCCTTAGACCCTTTGCACTACATTCGGAAGCCTGATTTAAAAAAGAAAAGAGGGAGGCCACCTAAAATGAGGGAGGCAATGGCGGAAATGCCTTTTATGCACAGCCTTAGTTTTCCTTTATCTAGTACTGGATTTTATCCTTCTTATGGCATGCCTTATTCTCCTTCACCCCTTACAGCTGCTCCAATAGGGTTAGGTTATTATGGAAGGTATCCCCCCACTATTTATCCACCACCTCCATCTCCTTCATTCACCACTCCACTGCCACCTCCCTCCTATATGCATGCTGGTCATTTATTGCTCAATCCTACCAAATATCATAAGAAAAAGCATAAGCTCCTTAGACAGGAGGCTTTTCTTACAACCAGCAGGACTCCTCTCCTTTCCATGAGCACCTACCCCAGCGTACCTCCCGAGATGGCTTATGGTTGGATGGTGGAGCACAAACACAGACACCGTCACAAACACAGAGAACACCGTTCTGAACAACCCCAGGTCTCCATGGACACTGGCTCTTCAAGATCAGTCTTGGAATCTTTGAAACGTTACCGATTTGGAAAGGATACTGTTGGAGATCGATATAAGCATAAAGAAAAGCACAGGTGTCACATGTCCTGCCCGCATCTGTCTCCTTCAAAGAGCTTAATAAACAGAGAAGAACAATGGGTTTCTCGAGAGCCTTCGGAATCAAGTTCTTTAGCCTTGGGATTGCAAACACCTTTACAAATTGACTGCTCGGAAAGTTCCCCAAGTTTGTCCCTTGGAGGATTTACTCCCAATTCTGAGCCAGCCAGCAGTGATGAACACATGAACCTTTTTACAAGTGCAATAGGCAGCTGCAGAGTTTCAAACCCTAACTCCAGTTGCCGGAAGAAATTAACTGACAGCCCTGGACTCTTTCCTGTACAAGATACTGTACTAAATCGGCCTCATAGAAAGGAACCCCTGCCTTCCAGTGAAAGGGCAATACAGACATTGGCAGGTAAGAGGATTATTATTTTGTTGTCTATTATTTGTGTTTCAGTAATAAATTATTTTCCCACTGGTTTCTGGATTCGTGTACTTGACCTTTTTTTTATTATTAAATTTGTAATTTATTTTTGTTTCTATATTTCAAAATCTCCAAAATTTTTATTTTTCATAGATATAAGGAGCAAACAATATCTTTGTACTATGTTTTATTTTTTTGAGAAACATTTTGAAAAGAAAAAAAACAACTTTGGAAACCAGGAAAAATGCTCTAACTTTTGCAAAAAAGCTTATGCTTTGTTCCTTAATCTAGAAATGGCTCAGGCATTTGTTAGCAGTAGGTAGCACTTATTGTATGCTAGTTGAATAATTACAAATACTATGGTACACACAAAATACCCGTGTTTCAATAAAAATTTAACCTTTGAAAATTTTCAGAACTAAGATTTGACTCAATTTTCAGAGAGGCTTTATGTTCTAGATTACTTTTAGGTATCTTCATCAAAGTTATTTCAATCAGATATAAAAAGGCATGGAACATACCTAAACATTCATTTGTAGCCCCTAGAGAAATGTTTTTTGAGACTAGAAAAAGTGGAAATGAAACTGAAATCATTGCTTATGCAAATAAAGGTTATTCCTAGCTTAGCAATTACTATGATCTTTTTAAAAAAGATTTATTTGTTCATATATTTTATGAATATGAGTGCTCTATTTGCATGGATGCCTGCATGACAGAAGAGGGCACCAGATCTCATTACAGATGGTTGTGAGCCACCATGTGGGTGCTAGGAATTGAACTCAGGACTTCTGGAAGAGCAGCCAGTGCTCTTAATTGCTGAATCATCTCTTCAGCCCCCTACTACAGTCTTTAAAGGGTTTGTAAATTAACTGTAAAGTCTGATGCTGTGAGTAAATTTTATATGTGTGTATTTGTGTCTGATTTTCTAGAGATAACTTGGGCAGGAATGTTAGAGCTGAGTGCCACTGAGTGCTCACCACAGTGAGCAAAGGGTCCTTCATTTCTATCCTTATTCCTTTAAAGGGATAAAAAATTGTATATTTAAGGAAAAAAAAAAAAAAAAAACCTCAGAAACAAGTAGGTGGGTTTTTTTTTTTTTTTTTTTTTTTTCTAATTTTCTTTATTCACAGACTTTGAAAAATCAATCTGTCTTAGTGGAAAAGACAGATTTACTTCTTCAAAATGTAGAAGAAATGGAAGCCGGAGAGTGGCTCAGCACTAAAGACTGTTATAGCTAGCTGTTCTTCTAGAGGGCCCAGGTTTGATTAAAGCCCCTACATAGCAACTCTGTAGTTCTGGGGTATCTTACACCCTCTTCTCTACTCCATAGGCACCAGGCATTCAAGTGGTACACAGACCCACCCAAATACATAAAAATAAAATTTTGTTTTTGTTTTTGTTCTGAGGCAGGATTTCTCTATGTAGCTCTGGCTGTCCTTGAAACAGTATATGTAGACCAGGCTGACCTTAAACTTAGAGAATACCAACTTTCCTGTGCCTCCCTAGTGCTGGGGTCAAAGTTGTGTACCATCACCATACCCCAGCTAAAATATTTCTTTGTTTGTTTGTTTATATTTTTGACACTAGGTCTCACTATGTAGCTCTAGCTGTCCTAGAACTCACAGAGAACCCAACTTCCTCTAATGAGTGCTGGGACTGAAGGTATTCACCACTTCACCTGACTTCCTTTATTTTTTTAACCTCCAGGAAGATTTTCATTTCTTTGTTTTTAATTTCTTGTTAGGTTACTTTATTGTACATTTATACATCACCCAGTATTTCTGTTTTAATGTGGAAGAAAATACTTATGTAACCAGTTTTGACAGATTACTTTTTTTTTTTTTACTATATTTAGCCAATGCTAGTTTTTTTGTTTGGGGGGGTTGGTTGTATGTTTTTGTTTTTTCTAGAGTAGTACTGGCTATTCCAGAACTATCTCTGTAGACCAGGCTGGCCCAGAACTTAAAGATTCACCTGTCGCTACCTCCCAAGTGTTGGGATTAAAGGCATGTGCCACCACTGCCTAGCCACCGATGCTAGTTTTTGGATAGCAAATATTTGCTAGATGTTATACTTTTGGAGCCCTTGTTTATAATAGGAATTGGAATACACATTTCGTTTTTCTGTGCAAGAGAAGGATAATAACAAACATTGTATTATATTTCCTTATTGTGACGTTGGGTCTAATGGTGCATGTCTGTAATTCTAGTATTTGGGAAACTGAAGCAGGGAGATTACAAATTGAAGGCTAGCCTGGTCTATGTAACAAATTCCAGGCCAGGCAAGGCTTTATGGTATGAGCTTATCTCCAAAGTACAAGAAAATAGAATGTTTCATTTTTTATGATAAAATGTGTTAAAAGAGGGACTATAGTATGGATTCTATAAAATGGGAGGCTTAATTCAGAGAATGACTTCCTGAGAAAAAGACCTAAAATAAAATAGGGCACTTAGCATGAACAACAGTTAGCTGAAGAAGCAGAATCCTGTACATTCATTTATTCATTAATTTTCTCATTCATTTATTGAATCCCAAAACATCAGCACTGTTCTAGTTTTTGACATGTAATGGTGAACAAAGATCTGATGTCTGACTGCTTATCTTTTTCAGTGTAGTGAAGGAAGTCAGATGGTAGAAGGGTAAGCAAATACATAATGACATAATTGAGAGAAGTGCTGTGTTGTTTGTATTATAGACTAACTAGACGGGGACTAAGGGGTAGGAGAGAGTTACCTACCTACACAATTAGCACAGCCTAAAGATAAAAAAGTTGGGATGAGAAAAGGTGAAAAGTATATATTGAACACCCTGAACTGGAAAGGAACTTCTTACTGCTGAGCCATCTCTCCAGTCCTAAGAGTAAGACTTAGTATTCCGGAGGAGAAAAAAGGAGGCGGCAGCATTTTTAGAGTGGTTCCCAGATACCTCTTTGGGGCATGTAGTTGAATGGTAATGAGATTAAGTTACACAATGAGATTAGTTGTTACACAAAGGAGGCAGAGATAGAAAGAAGATTTAAGGAAGTTGGAGAGATGGCTCAGTGATTAGCAGCACTGTCAGCTTTTGTGGAGGAGACTCGGGTTTAGTTCCCAGTACCCACTTGTTAGCACACAACTGTCTGTGACTCTAGTTCTGGAAGATCTGATGATGTTCTTACTGACTTTTTTGGCATCATACATGTAGGCAAAACATGTATACACATAAAATAAAAATAATTATATTTTTTAAAAATAAAAATGGTAAACAGATGTATCCTTCTTGCTATCTTATGAGACAACAGATTTATATTGCAAAAGATAAGTGAAGATAAGATGTATGGCATGTACCTGTAGTCCCAAACACAGGAGTCTGTGGTTTAAGGCCAGCCTGGTGTGTGTGTGTGTGTGTGTGTGTGTGTGTGTGTGTGTGTGTGTGTGTGTGTAGTCTTTATGAAACCTTTTAAAGGCCTGTTTTATTATTTGTTAATGTATTTAAAGACATTTCCATCGGCCTTACCACCCCCCCATGAGATTTATATAGGTGGGTGACTGTAGAGGTGTCTTGGATGAGGGGGGGTCCAATCCAATAAGGTAAAACCTTATGTAGGTTACAAGGATTTGACAAAGTGGCTAAGACATATCTTTTATTATAAGTGGAATTTCTTGTGAGATTTCTAAAAATTGTAGGCTTATAAGCTGAGAAAAGAAGGCTTAGGCCTTCCACGTGATTCATTATTGTTTTGACACTTATTAAATATCTATATATAAAAGAAATATGGTCTCCATTGCAAATCTGTTAAGTGGAAGGGCTCCTTTCCCTTTCCCCATTATAAGGATTCAGGCATTATGCTGGCCTGCCCCTATCATCTGGTAGAATGCACTCAGGCAGTACTCTGGTCAGCCCAGGGTCCTATGACTACTAGTCTGCATGCAGATGCAAATGGTCCCTGCCCCTGGGGCAGACAGAACTTTTCCTATCTCCCTCTTGTATTCTGTCCTTGCTGTGTCTCCTTACCTCTTTTCTCTTTCCTTCCCCTGCCCCCACTTTCCCTTTCTAATAAAACTTCTCACTTAAGCTCTGTCTGCCTGGCATGTTTGTCCCCCACCTCGGTCACCCTTACCTCCCATGGAATCCACCAAGGTTCCCCTCGAGCTTTATCCTAATATCTGCACCCTTAATTATCTGTCTTTCTATCTTGTCTCAAATTATTGTGTGTGTGTGTGTGTGTGAGAGAGAGAGAGAGAGAGACAGAGACAGGGACAGGGACAGGGACAGGGGGGTTAGGAATGTTAGAAAGACATAGGGACTGAAGAGATGGCTCAGTGGTTAAGAGCACTTGTTATTACAGAGAACCTAAGTTCTATGCTCAGCACCCATATGGTAGCTCACAAACATCTGTGGCTCCTGTTCCAGGGGCTCCAGTGACCCCTTTTGAAGGCAAAGTCAGGAGAATTTGAAATCATGCTTGGCTATATAAGAAATAGCAAGACTGTACAACACATCCTTGTCTCAAAGACGGGCTTGGGGTTGGGCAGTGTCAAAACTTTAGGGGAAGGGTATAGAGAGATAGCTCAATTAGTAATGGATCTCCAATACCCTTGTAAAAGCCAAGTGTGGTGCCATATGCCTCTAAAAGGATTGGAGGACACCTTAGCCAGTCCCTGGCATTTATTGTCCAGGCAATCTAGCCAATCTGTGACCTCCAAGTTCAGTGAGAGACCTTGTCTGAAGAAACAAAGTGGAAAGGGGCTGACTGTAAGGTACTTGCTGCCAAGTCTAATGACCTTGGTTCAATTCCTGAACCCCACATAGTGGAAGAAGAGAAGTGAAATTGTCTTATAGACTTTACATACATATGCTGTGGCATGCTTGACTTTCTGAGGGGAATAGAAAGGCCTTAATGTGTGTATGGGTCAGAGGACAACTTGTGAGAGTAAGTTCTTTCCTTCTACCATGTGGGCTCCAGGGACTGAACTCTCAACAGACTTGGCATTGAGCACTGTAACCTGCTA